CCACATGTGACTTTAACCCTAGCATGTTCTGTGTGTGTGCAGACAGCAGACCCTGGAACTCAGCCAGCTAGCCAGCCAGCCTGAAAGATGAGCCTAACCTGGAGACCATGTCACATATGTATATATACACATACAAATATATGTATTTTAGAGATATTTTCTCAAATTTTGTTGTTGTTACTCAAATTCTTAATGCTTTCACCATCAGTCATGCCAGTTTTTGTTGTTGTTGGGCTTTTTATGTCTTAGTGAAGGTTCTTGCCTTAGGTTCTACTGCTGTGAAAACACCATGACCACGGTACTTTAAAGAAGAAACAGTTTAGATTCAGAGGGTGAGTCTACAGCCATCATGGTGGAAAGCATGGCGGCAGAAAAGCAGGCATACCATGGGAGCAGTAGCTGAGAGCTCATATCCTTGACCCACAAGCAGGAAGCACAGAGGCATGGAGCCAACTGGAATGACACAGGCTTTTGAAACCTCAACCCAACCCCAGTGACACCTTCAGCAAGGCCACACCTCCTGATCCTTCCCAGACCTAGGGACTAAGTATCCAAAGATATCAGCCTATGGGAACCATTCTCAATCCACCACAGGAACCCAGGCTTGCCTCAACTTACTGTGTAGCAGAGACTAACCTTCACCTTCTAATTTTTTGCCTTCACCCACCAAGTGCCAGAATTATAGGTGTGCACCATCATACCTTGATTTATGGGGAACGGGAGATTGAACTTGGAGCTTCCTGCACAATAGAGGAGCACTTTATCAATTGACCCATGTGCCCCAACATGTTGGATTGTTTGTTTTGACTCTGAGATAGTCGTCTGTAGCCCAAGCTAGCCTTGACTTCCTTCTGTGGCAAATGCTGTCATCAAATGGCTTATCCTCTTTCTACAACTCCCAAGTCAGGATTTCAGACATGTGCTGCCATGCACAAGAAGTTCTGGTTGTCAACTAGTCTCAACACACACATCACATCATTTTCACAGTTATCTAAGTTGTTTTAGCTATTTTTTCAGCCCTAGGGACTGAAACCATGTCCTGTGCATGAAAGAGGGTATGACAGCACCCTGTGTGCGGGGTGCTCCATCACAGCCCACGCTGTTCTTTCTAAAGTCCGTACCACACATGCTCGATCCCCTCCCTCTCCCCACCCCGCACTCTATCTATCCCTTTATAGTACGTAGTGCTTTAGTGAAAGTGATACAAACAAAATCATTTAGTAATTTTTTTTTTTTTCATGGCCTTACAGAAATGTTTCAGCTCTCAAAAACAGCTAATAAATAAGCTGTCTTTCCCTTTTCAGGGTTTGTATCTTCCTTTCTCAGGCTATCCCTACTGCTGCAGCAAACACAAAGATAGTCACTTTGATGTGTTTCCAACACAAACATTTTCTTTGACCTTAGATAATTAATATACATGTAACACAGTATATTATAATTAATATACATGTATAATTAATATACATGTAACACAGTAGAAAACATGCATTTTCTACCTTTTTGCTAAGAAATGCTTACTATCCACAGATAACCAAGCTACAGGAAATGTGGGCACTATTTTTCATGTTATAGCAGCCATTTCAATGGAGAATCTATCCACAAATGATTAGGCTTTTTTTTTTCCTGCCTTGTTTTAATATTCCCAGAAAAAAAATATAACTGAAAAAAAGCTCTAACCACCCTACCCCCTTGCCCAATACAACCAGTTAGCAACAATAATTTAGAAACTATTTAAAACCTTTTTGAGTCTTTAACCTTTCTTTCATTTTTTATTTATTTTTGTTTTTCAAAACAGGGTTTCTCTGGGTAGCCTTGGCTGTCCTGGACTCACTTTGTAGACCATGCTGGCCTTGAACTCATAGTAATCCATCTGCCTCTGCCTCCCTGAGTGCTGAGATTAAAGGCATGTGCTAGCTGTGCCTGGCCTTTAAAAACTTCTCTATTAGCATACAATCATGTACTCTTTTCTTCCTAGGTACAAGGGCCAACTCTTACTGTCTTTTTGTGACAGGGTCTCACACTGTAGCTCAGGCTAGCTTGGAACTCAGGGATCCTTTGCTTCAGTCTTCCTTCCAAGAACTGGCCTTACAGACACGACCAGGCACACAGGCTGTCCCCATCCCAGCTGGCTGAGGGTCGGCCAGCACCTCTGCAGCTATACAGCCCTCGTTCATTTTTTATTTTTATCTCTATGCATGCATGTGAGCATTTGTGTGTCTGTTTGTACCACGCCATGCGTGTGGCAGCCAGAGGACAGCCTCACGTCTGCCCCATCTTCCACTTTGCATGGCATCTTTGATCTCTCTTTTCCTGGCAGCACATTCCAGGTGAGCTGGCCTCCTAGATTCTGGGAATTTTCCTAGTTCTACCGCCCATCTGGTAGCATCTGGAATGCTGGGACTGCAAATGTATGCACTTGGGGCTGGAGAGGTGGCTCTTCTATGTTGCAGGATGTCTGATCACACTGTGAACCAGAGATTGTGTTGTTTACCGGGAAAAACTCTTTCTAGTTGTGGTGTGGTTCAACCCTAGCACACACCTTTAGCCCAAGAGCTTTCTGCTTGAATACTATAAGTAGGATTAAATACTCAACAATAGGTCAAGAGGAGCAGGAAGCAACCAGTTGACAGGAAGTAAACACAAAATTATTAAGGAAAAAACAGTAAGAGGAGGTCAGGAGGACAAATAGAGAAATGCACAGGAAGTGTAAGAGAGGGACATTCAGTTTAAGGAGACGTTGCTTCTGGGACCTCGGCTGAGAAGGTCAGCTGGGTGCTTTCTCTGCCTCTCTGAGCCGGCAGGTTTCCACCCTGAAATCTGGAATGATTGAGATTTTGTTACAAACACTTCCAGAGGATCTGGGTTCCACACCCACAACCGGCAAGCAGGCTCCCAACTGTCTGACAAGTCCAGTCTCAGGGGGATCCGACCCTCTTCTGGCCTCCATAGCCACAGCATACACACGGTGCACAGACACGCACAGGTAACACCACACACCGAAAACTATAATAAATGAAAAAATAAATAAATGGCTGTCTCTCTGCCTCTGGCTTTCTGTGAGCTCAGGGGACTTAGACTTGGGGCCTCACACATGCACAGCTCTGTTCGGAGACACAGCTTTGCATGTAGGTACTTACCACACAGCCCAAGCTCTGAGCGCTCCGTGCTAATGCATATTAAGCATTATTTTAATAACAATTAAATACCTAGACACCTTAGACTGCAACAGCAAAGTCTGTAGCATCACAGACGATGAGGCAGTTTCTTTTCTAAGAGTGAAAGCACTGCTACACTTTGTACATATGCGGGGCTCAGTCACGGGGGCTCAGTCACCGCTTAGTGAGCAGCCTTCGAAGGGCCTGGCATCTCAGGGTTTCTATCACTGTGGGAAAATACCAAAATGACCAAAAGCTAGTTTTGCTTACACTCCATATAACAGTTCATTATTTGCACATCAAGGCAGGAATCTAGAAGCAGGAGCTGACGCAGAGGCCACAGAAGGGTACAGCTTACCGGCTTGCTCCTCGTGGCTGGCTCAGCCTGCTTTCCTATAGCACCCAGGACCACCAGCCCAGGGACGGCACCTCCCACAATGAGCTGGGCCTTCCCACATCAATCACTGATTAAGAAAAATGTACTACAGGCTTGCCCATAGGCCAATCTGGTGGGAGCATTTTCTCTACTGATGTTCCCTCTTCCAAAATGACTCTAGCCTGCATCAATCTGTCCAGCACACCAGCCATGTTCCAGGGTCTGAGAATGTAGTCAGCTGAACTTTTGGGATACAGCATCATGAAATGTATAATAATTATGTATAATAATAATTATGCGGCTAATTATGATTCTACTAAGTACTATGAAAAACATGCAATGGAGCTGGGAGACAGCTCAGTAAGTGCTTTCCAGACAAGCATGAGGACCGGAGTTCAGACCTCAGCATCTGCACAAAAAGCCGTTTCTCTTATAAAGCCGTCTGTGATTCTGTCTACTCTTTTCCCCTAGGAGTTCTACTATTATTGAACCAAACATTCTTGGGAGACACAGTGGTCGAGAGGACTTAGAAGCTACCTGAGAACGGAGAGAAACCATCTTTTGGTCACCTTCTACCCTCCCTACCTCATTTCCACACTACTTGCAGGGTTTGGCTTTGCAAGGGTGTGACAATCGCCAGCCCTCCCACCATTAAGATATCTTAGAGATGTCTTAATGTTTGCTTCTGCAAACACTTCATCCTTAGATTCCCACTGAATTCTTACACCATAGGAACACAGGAGGGGCTGGGAAGATGGCTCAGAGGTTAAGAGCACTGGCTGCTCTTCCAGAGGACCTGAGTTCAATTCCCAGCAACCACATGGCGGCTCACAACCATCTATAATGTGATCTAATGCCCTCTTCTGGTGTACGTGCAGGCAGAACACTGTATACATAATAAACATGTATACACACACACACACACACACACACACACACACACACACACACATTATATATATTATGTATGTATATATTTCCTAGATGCCTAGAAACCCTTCCTGGTTTCAATTAAGTCATTTACCCCAAAACACCCACCGCGCACCTACTACCTGACGAGGGCACCTGGGGACCAGTCTACCCCGGCCGCCCGCCTGAGGAGGTGCGACAGTGCCTCCTCCCGCCACCAATGGAGGGAGCCCCCTGCGCCCGCCGACACGGCCGAGGTCAAGGGCGGCAGCCGCCAGCCCCGGGCCCCAGGGACCGCACGAGGGCATTGGGTCCCTCAAGGAGACGGCGTCCTCGGGCTCACGAACGCTACTTCAGGCTGGCCCGCACGCCCTCGGGGTGGCCGGCTTCCGGTCCTGCGGGCGGAAGCGTCGCCGCGTCCAATCGGCGTCCTCCTCCTGTACTCGCCCCGCCCCGCCCCTCCAGGCTACCAATCAGCGCCGAGGGGCGTGGCGTCGCGAGCGCCCTGCGCCGCGCACTCCGACCCGGAGACGCCCTCTCACCTCCCCCCTCCCCCGCGGTGAAGATGGCGCTGTCCAGGGTGTGCTGGGCTCGGGCTGCGCTGTGGGGCTCGGCCGTCGCCCCTGGACCCTTGGTCACCCGGCTGGGTCGCCCCGGCCCCGCGTGGCGAGCCCCTCGGTGAGGGCCCCCTGGAAAGAGAAGAGCGTTTTTGACGTAGAAATCCTCGCAGCGGCGCCACCTCCTCTTCTTGGGATCCCACGCCTTCCTGGCCCCAGGGGTTTGCTCTTCCACGCAGGGTCTCCCCTGAATGCTGGCTGACCCTCTGTGCTCCGTGTTGTCTGCTCGTCTTTCGGCTTCCCTCTCCCATCTCCGTGGCCTTAACTTGCCTTCTGCTGGCGCCACAGGCTTGGCGCACACTCCATGCTCAAACCGTTTTATCACTTGTCAGCAGCTTCTGCCCCTCAGACGAAAAGCTTTGCTTTTCAGAAGTTCCCGATTGTGGCAGTCGTTCTCAGAGACCTGTATTTTACAAGAGGGACCCTGGGCGCAAAGAGGCTTCTACTAGTTCGCAGACAGTGTCTTTGATCTTCCTTGTAGGTCTTCGAAGCTTCACCTCTCTCCGAAGGCAGACGTAAAGAACCTGATTTCTTATGTGGTGACCAAGACAAGAACGATCAATGGATCATACCATCGTTTCTTGGGTCGCCATTTCCCCCGCTTCTATGCCTTATACACAGTCTTCATGAAAGGTAAACACTAAAATAGAAATACTCAAAGCAGCTCTAAGGCAGTTACAGTTACAGACAGGGAGATGACGCATGGGCTCTGCTGTGGGGATGTGAGTTGAGATGCCTTCCCTTTTGTCTGTGTTCAAGCATTACTTCTTACAGTCACCTCTTAGGTATCTAGAAAGCTGTGATGGTAGACAACTTCTGACATCACAGGAGAGAGCGGAGGATATAAGAGATTGTAATTTCCTTCCAAGGCCCTCGTCCTGCCCAAGAGCAGGGACCTGTGGCAGTGCAGACCCCACAGGGATTCATCTGTCGTCATAAGAAAATGTGATCTAGATGCTTATCAGTGGCCAGCTCGGCTAACTTGTAGTGGCAATACCACTATATGTGCTTGATTTCTGAATTTTTGATTCAAAGTGGAGGGCCACTAGTTATAATGAAATGATACCTAATGTTACATGACCACTCTGGAACCAGAATGCCCAGTTCCAATCCCTTTTGTGATTTACTGACACTTGCACTAGTGACCCTAATTGTTTTTCCCTTTGGTTTCTTGTCTATAAAACAGTAATAGAACCTATTGATTACCTAGTTGTGAATATTTTTTATTTATCTAGAAAGGGGGTCTTGTAGCTCAGGCTGGCCTCAGACTACCTGTTTAGGTGAGAATGACCTTGAACTCAGATCTCCCTGCCTCCACTTTCTTGAGTGCTGGGATGATAAGCCTGAGCCACCGCAACTTATGGAGAAAATTAAATCAGCGTATGTAAAGTGCTCAGAACAGGGCCTGATCTGTGTTAGCATTAACTATTACTATATTCTATGCTTTTACCCACTAATTAAAAGAAAATGGAGTGTTGTCAACTCTGAATATTACTGTAATTATTATTAACTTCATGTACTTATAAACTTACCTTTATCTAAAAAGTGGAGGTAAGAATGGCTGTATTGCCAGCCATGGTGGTTCTGGGTCTACAGTCCCACAACCCAGCATTCCAAGGCAGGAGAATCAGGAGTTCCAGGCCAGCTTCAGCTACATAGCAAGATCCTGTAAAAACAAAACAAAATAGGTAATGACCACCAGTCATATATACATATCTATGTCTAATATATGTGCCCTGTACTATTTGAAGCCAATCTAGATGACACTTGGTTCATAGATACGGAAGCATTAAAAAGGTTTTATCCACTCTACTTGCACCTCGGTTTTCCCGTATGCACCATGCAGACGCCGGGTCCTGGGTGTCGGGAAGCAGTCGATCTAGATCACGAGTTGTGGACGGTTGTGGGCCGCAGTGTGGGTGCTGGGAACCGGACCTCTGCAAGAGCAGTCAGTATTTCCTTACCTCTGAGCCATCTCTCTAGCCCTGGAAGCATTTTTTAAAAAGCTAGATAAATGTAAGGATGAGCATAAAAAGAAGACTCAAAATGGACTCACAGCAACATGTCAGATTCTGCAGCTTAGAAACATGCCCAGAAGGCAGCAAGTTAACGTCCGGCTGGGGAACACATAGGCTGACTGACCTGACGCCCTGGTGTGAGGAGCTAGAGTTTAGAACAAAGCAACGGGTGTCGCACTGCACAGCAGAGCCTAGCTCGGCTGGGTAGCGTGCTGGGGGAAAGGATGGGAGGTCTCAGAGGTGTGTCCAGCTTTCATAGGCAGGGCCAGGAGGGCGGGGTGTGTGTATGCGTGTGAGGCAGGGCGGGAGGGCCCTGCGTGTGCATGCGAGCGAACACAGAGTCGGACGCGACGGCGGGATTCAACCAGGATAACACCGGCATTCTGTCCTCCACCCCAACGGGGCAGGCATACAGATGTTATGGGCTGATGCCAAAAAGGCTAGAAGAATAAAGACAAGTATGTGGAAGCACAAAGTAAAGTTTCACCAACTTCCTTACCGGGAGATGGAGCATTTGAGACAGGTACGGGCAAACACCCGGAAGTTCGCGGTGAGGTCATGAGCCAAGATGTCAAGTTTGTTTCTTTCCTTGTGTGTCACTGTCATGCAGTCCCCCTGTGCCATGACTGCATCCAATCATTTGTCAGAATGGTTTCGTTAAAAACATCACAATAGAGCTGTGTAGAATTTTAGGCACTCTCTGATTAAATTTGTAAGTAATCAAATCCAGGTTGGTTTTAACATACAAAGATCTGCATGGAGCTGCAGAACAGCAAGAAGCATTTGGCGGTGAGCTGACAGGCAGTTTGAAGCTGAGATAAGAGTCCCGAGACATTCAGCAAGTCCGAAAGAGCTCACCGAGGGATCTGAAAAGAGGACAGGCCTGTCCTCGGTGTTTGGGATACAAAAGTCGACATCGAGGTTCTACCCTCCCGGGACTTAGCCTTGGCAGATGCAAACAAGCCCGGCCCTTTCTCTAGGCCACAGTAAAGGGCCACTATGGAGTGAGTGGGTGGGGGTTGTCTATGATAGCAAGAACGCACCTGTGTTGAGACAGCACCTGTGTTTGTTTCTGTCTAGTTCCGTCAGGATATCACCAAGTGTCTTTTCATAGGCGTCGTTTCCATTCCGCCCTTTGCCAACTACTTGGTCTTCTTGCTAATGTGAGTATGCACCAGCAGCAGCTTGAAACTAGAGATTTAAAAATATTATCTATGTGTGTCGATGCTGTGCCTGCATATGTGTCTGTACCACATGTGGGCCTGGTGCCCACAGGGGCCAGGAGAATCATGCAACATTTTTCCTGGGACAGGAGTGACAGATGTGAGCCACTGTGTGTGCTGGGAATTACAGGGGTGAGCCACTGTGTGTGCTGGGAACTGAACCTAGATCCTCTGGAAGAGCAGCAAGTACTCTTAATCTCTGAGCCATCTCTCCAGCCCTCAACTATAGATGTTTTTAAATTAAAAATAATTTTGCTGGTATAGTGGCACATACCCCAGTACTTGGGAGTTGGAGGCAGGAAGATCAGAAGCTCAAGGCCAGCTTGGATTATATAGTGAGTTCAAGGCTAACCTGGGCTACCTTTCCTCAAGCAAGCAAAGAAACAAAACCAAAAAAGCCAAGAAATGTGTTTTAATTACTGTTTTTAATCCTTTCCTTTAAGTATATGTGGTGTCTGAGCTTATGTGCCCCACATACATGGTCCTTAGAGCGGTTGAGGGTATCAGATCCCCTGAAGCTGGAGTTGTAGACTGCTGTGAGCTGCCATGTACATGCTGAAACTTGAACCTGGCTCCTCTGGAAGAGGAGCTAGTGCTTTTAACCCCTGAGCCATCTCTCCAGCTCTCAAGAAAATTATTTTTAGAACTTTTTATTTTAGAAGTTCAGAGGTTATCAAACTTACTTCAATCTTTTCATTATCCCAAATTTTAAGTTTGCTTTAAGGTTTATTATTTTATGTTTTTGGTATGAGTGCTTTGCCCGCATGTGTGCATTTGGGGCCTACAGCCCCATGTGGTGCTGGGAATTGAACCCGGGTCCTCATGCTGCTAACCCCTGAGCTGTGTCTCCAACCCTGTCCCAAAGGTCTTAAGAACATTGCACAGTGCTCAGCAGCCATGGGTATTGTGATGAAACCTTAAGGATCTTCTCCATCCTTCAAACAGCATCTCACTCTCCACAAGGAACAAATGATACATTGTGAAATTTTTTCAGCTAAATAATATTCACATTCCAATATCATGGCTTTAGTATTTACAACCAAAGATGACCCACCCGAGCTGTCAGCCTGCTTGTTGTTTCAGCTGTTGGCTGCTGTGTAATGGCAGCTTCAGAACAAGCACAAGGAAGCCACTGTTTCCATGGTTTTGGGTTCAGGAAGACGGAGAGGGCTGGCGGTGGCTCAGCACTTAGGCACACAGTGTGCTGCCCCCGCAGGGCCCTGGTTTGCCCCCAGCACCGGGGCGGGTGCTGCACAGCCGCGCTCACATGTGCACAGTCCCCAAGTACACAAACCCAGACTTTAAAAGACAGCGTTCGGGTAGGGCTCAGGAGAGCGACTGCTTTCCTCTGTGGCTGATGCTGGCAGAGTCTAGTGATTAGCTGTTGAGTGAAGCGGTGGGAGGGCCTAAGATCGTGTGTCTGGTGCTCTGATGTGGATGTTTGGGAGATGGACCTGCCTCTTCAGGATGGCAGCCTGGGGTGGTGGTCCTACAACACAGTCAGAGCTCCTGGGATGAGTGGTCCAGTGAGTGACTTTGTAAACAACAGACAGAACCCAGAGCCTCGCCTTGTAGTCCTGGTTGTCTTGGAACTCACGGAGATCTGCTTGCTTCTGCCCTACCAATGGCACTAAGAAGATGTGTGCCGTCACACCTCGCCTGTACTTTTGATGTCTTTGTCTTAGAGGTCACCGACTCAATTCTGCTCTATTGTATGAATTAATCACCCAGAGCAAAAAAAAAAAAAAAAAAAAAATAGGGAAATAAATGTCACCTGCCCATAGAAGAAGCACCAGAGCATAGGTAGCCATGTTTAAAAGCTGACACACATGTGGGAAGCTGAACTAAAGAACACACGCTTGGCCTTTCAGTACTGCGCACATGTGGCTGCTCTGTGGCTGTTCTCTGCATCAGACACAGCATCCAGCTTCTTGTGGCTGTCCAGTGCACACTCTTTGCCTGCTTTAGCTCAGAAAGCATTTATCTGACTGCTGCACACCAGGCTTCCTTTCCAGTCACATCTCAGTAGCGCCTTGAGATCACGCCGAGACATGGGTGAGGCTTGGGAGAAAGTGTTTAGCAGAGAAGAGCACATCTGCCGGCTTCCTGGGCTGCATGGCTGCCAGGTGCCTGATTAGCCAACTCTGAAAGATGCCGCTTCCAGAAAGTGACTTTGTGATTCTTTTCCTTTTAGGTACCTGTTTCCTAGGCAACTGCTTGTCAAGCATTTCTGGACCCCCAAACAACAAATTGATTTCTTAGACATTTATCATGGTCTCCGGAAGCAGTCCCACTCAGAAATCGTCACTCACCTAGGAAGGGTCGGCGCTCTTGTTTCTGATGAGAGGCTTCGGTGGCATCTGACAGACCTGTGCGCCAAGGTATGTCCAGCCAGGGCTCTGGAGGCCGCCGGCACCAAGGCAGGTACAAGCAGCTAGTCAGGGGCTTTCTAAACCTCCCGTTTCTCCCCTCCTACAAGGTGCAGAATGGTACCCACCCAGCGTCACACGACATCCTGCCTCTCAGAGGGTGCTTCTCTACCCGTCCCCTGGGCTTGGACCACCTGCCAGCTCCGCAGATGGTGAGCCCTTTGAGGCCCTCTGTGCCCACGGGCTCGCCGCGTTGGAGGCTGTCGAGTAGCACTGCTCACCATCTTTGCCCTGCTGTGTCACAGAAAGCCCTGAGCAGGGCCGTGCTGCTCACCCCGTATCTGCCCCCTCCCCTGCTGAGAAGGCGCTTGAAGAGTCATGCTGCTGTCATTCACCAGCTGGACAGGGCTCTGGCGAAGCTGGGGATTGGCCAGCTGACTGCTCAGGAAGTGAAGTCGGTGAGTGGTGGATCTCGGGATGGAACGGGTCCCCAGGTGGCCAGGCGCTTGCGGGCCGCTTCTTGTGCTTCTACCAAAGCTCCAGCTCCGCTTCTGGGTCGTTGTTGTTCTGATACAGGGTCTCACTATGTAGCCCTGGCTGGCTTAAGCCTCTCTTTGTAGCCTGGCCTTGAACTCACTACTAGAATCACAGGCTCGTGGTGAACAAGCTGAGCCCCCCGCCCCCCATCTCATGTAGTACAGGCTGGCCTCAGGCTTAAAGCAATCCTCCTGCCTCAATCTTCCAAGTGTTAAAATTTCAGGCAGAGCCACTATACCTGGCTCTAAGTTCTTTTAGTTTATTTCTATGGATTTTTTTTCTTAATGTACACAGTTAGTGGGAATGAGTTTTAAAAAAAAATCAAGGAGGGGCTGAAGAGATGGCTCAGAGGTTAAGAGCACTGGCTGTTCTTCCAAAGGTCCTGAGTTCAATTCCCAGCAACCACACGGTGGCCCACAACCATCTACAGTGAGATCTGGCGCCCTATTGTGGTGTGTTCGCATACATGCAGGCAAAATACTGTATAAATAATAAGTCTAAAAAAAAAAATCAAGAACCCTGGGCAGGGTGTGATGGCACATGCCTGTGACCTAGCATTTGGGAGGAGTCCCAGAACAACTTGCTTTTAAAAAAAATTCAAGGGCAGTATACGTTAAACCTGCTACTTTAGATTATATAGGTGTAGCAGGCAGCTCTCCATTATTGGAACAAATACCTGAGCTCAACTTAAAAAAGAGGAAAGGTTTTTGTTGTTGCTGTTGTTTGTTTAGCCCACAGTTTTGGAGGCTTTGGCCTGATCAGTTGGCCCTGCTGGTTTTGGTGCTGTGATGAAGCAGTGCATCCTGGGAGTATGTGGTGAAGCAAAGCTGTTCATTTCCTGGCAGCTGGGAAGAGGAGAGCGAGGATCATGCAGTGCCCTTCAAGGGCACGCGCTCGCTGACTGACTGCCTCTCAGTTGGCTTCGTCTTTTAGTTCTGTGTCCCAGTAGCACAGAGAACTGAGCTGTCTACTTCCACAAGCTGAACCCTGGCAAGGCTTTTCCTGGGGTATGTCCTGCAGGCTTCGTGCACGCTGCTTGAGGACTCAGGGAGCTTGTAACCTGGGACTCGGCCTTGAATGCCTGGGCCTTGGCAGGACCTGCAGCAGCAGCCTGTTGGCTGGTGTAACATCTTCAGTTGGCATTGCTTGGAGGAGGTTCCCAGTGGGGATGAGGCTGTGCCTTATTCAGAGGCTCCAGTCGCTTGAGGACCTCTGTTTCTGTGGCCTATGTGACTATTGAGGATGTTTCTCTTCTGAGTATGCAGGCTTGCTATCTTCGTGGCTTGAATTCCACCCATATCACTGACGACAGGTGTCGAACCTGGCTGGGAGAATGGCTGCAGATATCCTGCAGCCTGAACGGTGAGGCAAACCCTGGCTGTGCCGGACGTCTAAGCTTTAAAACAAAACAAAAACTACGAGAACCAAGCAAGCAGAAAGCAGCTGTGTAGCTCTGGCCGGTCCGGAACTCACCATGTACTCGAGTGACTTTTTCTCGTGCGGCTGTCCTCCCGCCTCGCCCTGCTGACTGCTGGGGCTGCAGGCGCCGCACCACCATACCCAGCTCTTTTTGTACGTTATTCCAGGGTTACTTGCTGGAGTATGGTGAAGCCTTTCTCTAACATATTTGTAATTCAGAGGACCCAAGTGTCCACTCATGTGCAGGCATAGGTTAGACTAAGACAGAAGGGACTGCTTGCTGCCCTGAGGCTGCTGGCACTTCATTCAGGGCGCATCTCCTGCACAGCAGGGTACTTAACAAGTAGACTTGCCTGGCCCATTCCATGCCAGCCACAGCCCTTTGTCTCTAGTGTGCCAACGGAAGATGTCTCCAGACATGGCCGGGTACTCCTGAGCTTGGGAGGGAGGGAGGGACAGACCGTCCCAGATGCAGGGGCTGGGGTGGAGCAGGGGCCGGGGCGGAGCAGGGGCTGTCGAGAGCAGCCTCGCGCTGGCCTCGCAGTCCCGGCTTCCTGCCTCCGCCAAGCTCTGCCATGCAGGGCAGTAGGAGGCCACTAACCCTGCTGGTGTTTTCAGAACCTGAGCTGTCGCTCCTGCTGCACAATGTGGTCCTGCTGTCCACCAACTACCTTGAGACCAGGCGCTGAGTGAAGCGGGAGCGTGACGCCGAGCAGTCGGGCAGTGGCTCGGGGCCGCAGTGTGGGACCAAACAGCGCTCAGCACAGTCTGTGCACGCTTAGCGTGGAGGCGAGGAGCAGGGCCACGGGCTTCGGAGCACGCCGCCTACCTGGGAGCTGGACATCCCTTCACAGCTTGAGCCTAACCAACCCGCGTGCGACCCCCGTGCTAACCTGCAGCTGGCCAGCACCTCTGGCCTAGACTTTTGTCCTGATGTCATGTTTAGATCCTGTAAAGTCAGGTTTTGCCCAGGTGGGAGTCATGGGGCCACAAGGCCGTGGTGCCATGGCTTGTTTTGTTTTTAAATTATTTTTTTTTCTGAGGTGAGTCTGTGCTGGCCAGGTGGGCTCAAATCCCTGTGCTCAAGGGCTCTTCCCACCTCAGGCTTCTGGGTGCTGGGGCTCTCACTGCTGTGCTCTTTATAGCAGTGAGGGGTTTGGCAGTGGCTTTCTGAGACCCTGTGTCTCGGGTAGCTGAGGATGACCTTGATGGCCTGGTCTTCCGGCTTCCACCTCAGGGTGTCCTCTAGAGCTGAGGCAGTGTCTTGGGAAACTGGGAACTGGCAAGAGCTCTGCTACATAGGTGAGCGCTCTCCCCAAGGTTTTTCACCAGAGAATTCCTGGTGCCAAGAACAGAGCTGCCTGGAGCAGTGCAGACGGGAGCACTAACCCCTGTGCTTGCACCTTGATTCCCACCCGTTTCCTCTCACACCCCTCCCTTTTCCTTTTTTTTAATTTTTGTTTGGCTTTTTTCTTTTGGAGATAATCACCATGCAGCCCAGGCTGGCCTTCGGTTCCTGGCGATCCTGACAGTTCTGGGGCTGGGAATACAGGCATGAGGCACCATGCCTGGCCCGTCCTTTCTGGTGTGACCAAAAGCAGGGCTGTTTTTCTTGCTCACTAGCATGGGCTGTGCGCCCCTCCTCTTAGCACTCTGAACACTTTTAATTTACGGGAGCACTGTAAAGGAGCAGGTAGAAGGCGGCTGCTCGGGCCCCCCTGCGTTCATCCCAGTGTCTCAATTATCAGGCTGTCACACAGCCCCTAAGGACCTTACATGTTTGCTACCTCCACTGTGTTGCACTAAGCCATCTGTAACCAGCAGTGGCTGCCTGTCTTCAGGCCCCAGGTCAAAAATGCATAAGGTACTAATTACTGCCTTGGGTGGGGGCTCAGGGTAGTAAGCTGGGTTTAACTGTGTGTACAGCCATGCCCTGTAGCTCTGTAATAGCTGTAAATGCATGAAGCACTGTTCTCAAACGAAGTAAAGACTGCCTGAAACCAGGTTTTTGGAATTACTTACACTCATGTTGCTAAGGCTTCTTCCGTAACACTGACTTAAGCTGACTAATGGGTATTTAACTGGTTGGAGCAGAACTGTCTTCAAAGATAAGAATCTGCATTTTCAGTTAGTTCCACAGAACAGTGAGAGAAGCACCCTTCCTCCTATCAACTCCCTGCGCCTGCGAGGACACAGAACAGCACACACCTTGAGTATTTCTTTAATATTACATTTAAATATTCTTCTTAAATACAGCATCATTACAATGTGAAGAACCTAGAGGGGGATGGTTTTTCAGAGAGCCAGACAAGCTTTGGGTTCACACTGAGAGTGGACCTCACACAGTAGGCGAGGCGACAGCATGATGGGCTGCGGCAGAGCCACAGCTCATCCAGGCCTGTGAGGGGCTGGCTTTGCTGCTGTGACCAAGGCCTCGCCTTCCTGGCAAGCAGGGACTACAGTTCTGTCCAACTCGGGTAGCACCGGAGCTGAGCTGGACTCGTTATAGAAAAGGCCCTTTGCTTGACATCAGTCAGTGCTAAATACTTAGCACTGAGAAGCTGGGGGTACTGTGATCAGAACACAGAGTCAGCGTAAGAAACTAGACTTAAACAGAATTACAAAGTGTTTCGGTGGCTGACTAGTCTTTCTGTTTCTTAATGAAAAATCCAAATCTAAGGGCTAAGAAAGTTGGAGTCTTGAAGAGGGAAGGGGCTGAGTCCCTGCCCTTCTAACAAACTTTCAAAAAGATTCTCCCATCAGCCAGTCTCCGCTAAGCTTCTGTCGTGGATCTGAGAGTTCTAGCCTGGGTGTGGATACCTCAACCTCTTAAGGTAACTCATGAGGCTAGAGAGAGCCTGTGCACTTCTTTAAGGACCCCAACAGAACCAAGCAAAACGAGGAAGGCAAAGTGTCAGAACGGGCTAAAGAGTATCTGTAGTGAGCACAGGTCCTCCAGGTTTAGACTTTCCAGGTGTTTCTGCTGCCGTACGCATTGAACTGTGCTTTATGACACCAGGGCCTTATCACCCCACCAAAAATAAATAAATAAATAAATAAAGCCAGGTGAGGTGGTACACACCTGTTATCCCAGCACTCAGGATGCATGGATCAGGAGGACTGCCACAGGTTCGAGGCCAGCTTGGTCTACATAGCCAGCTACGACTATTTAGTAACACTGTCTCAAAAAAAAAAAAAAAAAAAAAAAATCAGAAGAAAACATTTGCTTTTCTTTCCTGGTTAGTGAAGAATGATAGAAGAGGCCAGTATTTTGCACCTACTGCAGAGGTAGCATCGCCAATAAAAACTCAGGGCTGACCAGGGATCTTGGAACGTTAAGACATGAGGAGCAAAATCTACTGCCTGAGGTAAGTGTTGAGTCTGTCCCAGTCTATACATTTCAAAGGCCAGAAGATCTTGAATCCTTTGGAATCTGGGAGTCCTGTGTCATAACTAAGAATCAGTCTGACTTCCAGTTTTCATCAATCTCCAGATGGGGGCCATCTGCCGGGCCTTCTCAGGAGAGAGCTGTAATAGCCAAAGCTCTCTAAGCCTCCAGTACCAGGAAGGGCCGTGAGGGTGGGCACAGAGTCCTCAGCTGCCGATGACCTGTGCTAGTATACCTTCCATTCAGACCAAGCCCTGCCAACAGGAGCATGTGGGGGAAGAGAAGGTCAGAGAGCAAGCCTGACAGTCAGTTTCCAGACTGCCAACAGGAGCATGTGGGGAAGAGAAGGTCAGAGAGCAAGCCTGACAGTTAGTTTCCAGACTGCTCCACACTGGGCCCCTGCCTTTCACGCAAGCCTCACTCTGTACCGCGCCCCTGTCCAACCTGGACTTCTTTCAAGGGAAAAGGATAAAGGAAAAGGCAGAGAAGTTTAACTCTAGTACCTAAGCACATATGAAAGAAACAATTCAAGTTACAGACCAGGAATCCCCGGTCTGCAGAGCAGATCAGGGAACAACAAACATGGAAAATTAACTTATTTACCAGTTGCAGGTGGGGAGAGCCAGAATAAACCTTGGGACTCCTGGGAGTTTTGTACAGAAGTGGAGACTCCTGTGGCCTCCATCTCAGACTCAGCTGAGCAGCCTTTCCATTAGCATGTCTGATCCACCAAGACCGGGTGTCTGAGGAGCCAGTGAGCCCCACAGGGAGCCACTCGCATCCTTGGGTCTGGCCTTAGCATTCCCAAGAGCTGCTTGAGCTATCCAGCTCACTCTGGTGGCCCAGAGAGCTCTGCAGCTGGGGCTGGCCTCCTAGGTACTTTCCCCTTTCAAAATACACGCACTACCAACCGTTTCCTACCCACTTTCCTAAGACAAAATAACCTGGGAGCAGCAGTCTCGTTTTGAAATGGCGTTGAATAATAAATAGAGAATGGGCAATGTCTGTCTCTGGTCACACTGCCAGAGGGAGTTCTAGGGCAGAGTCTTCAGGGGTCTGGTCCTCGCTCTGCTGTGAGTTCTGCACTCCACAGCCTTCTTCATTGTCTGTTCGGAAGGGTAGGTTTGAGGAAGACCATGAGGGGTGGAAGTCTTCACCCTCAGGCTCCTGATGGTCACAGTCATCAGGCAATAGTTTGTCCAGAGCGGGTGTTTTCCCCAGCTCTGCTTCACACAGGGCAGCTGAGTCAGAGGGGCTGCAGGCCACCAGTGAGGTAACGGGGAGGGAGAAAACGCTCAGGTCTTTCTCCTTGGGGAAGGAAGCCGGGCCCTCTTCTGAGCCAGGTTCTGCTTTCCCTCCCACGACCGGCCTCTGCTCTACCTGGTAGTACACCAGAGGCCCACTGTTCAAGTAGGACGGGCTGCTCATCGGGGAGGCGGCGGAGTGCTCCGAGTTCTCGGTAAAACACAGGACGGATGAGCCCGGGGGCAGCTGAGCCTGGATGAGAATGGGGGTGGCCAGGCCTGGACACAGCTCTTGGGGAACTGGCAGGGGCTCCTCTAGGATGCACACGCCCAGGCTCTCCACGCTGGAGTCCAGGCTGGCGCTGGAGCCGCTGTCCTCCTCAGCCTTGAGGCGCTCCAGCTCCTCTGCACTCTGCAGGTGCATCACGGCTGTCTCGTTCTCGGCAATGAACTCCTGGAAGTCCTGCGTCTCTGAGCCTGGCGTGCCTGGCAGGCTGCAGCCAGCGGAGGGCGTGGGCTCGTCCTCCGGGACTGCTGGGCGGCTCAGCTGCCGCTTGCTCTCCAGCTCCAGCTTCATGAGGGTGTGGAGGAAGTGAGTCCGCACTCGGATGGGATTGAACTCGATCCGCCCTGCCATGTTTCCGCAGCCGTCCCTGGAGCAGCCACAGGGGAAGGACATGCGATCCACCTGGGGGACACAGGAGGTTGTGCATGGTAAGACCAATGGCTCTAAGTGCGGACAGGTGACACTGACAGGCGCACACACAGGCAGCTGGGGTTGGAGAAGCCACCAATTCAAAACATACCATGCAGCTCAAGCTAACAGCACTCGGCTTAGTTATCAGGCCACCTGCACTGCAGCTCTAGCTCAGCCATTAATTAGTGCTGGCATCTCAAGACACCATTTCTGTTCTCCCCTGGGCTTTGTTTCTTCTACTAATAAAAAGACAAGAATCACATCAAAGGCTCCTTCCAGTTAGCAGGCCTACAGCTACCTCCGAGTGCTGACACCTCAGGGTGGAGAAGAGGTTTTGTGCCTCAGGGACTCCCAGAACTTACCTGGTTCACTGAGACAAAAGGCTGGGCCACACCTTCTGCAGTGACAGGTGTGGAAGTGTGTGGAGATCTTGCTACTTCAATGCAATACACTCTGGGGAAACTAAACAAAGGTGCCTTAGTGCTGAGGTGCTAAGAGGAGGCTCACACAGTGACTGGCTCCTCACCACCTTCTCCCTGAGGATCAGCCAGTGGAGCTCTGACGCTGTGGCCAGGACAGCTTACACCAGGAACATCCAGGAAGGAGGGGTGCTGGCATGCCAGCGCACGCCTTGAATCCCAGCACGGGGAAGGCAGGGATACGTGACTCTGTGAGTTTGTGTGAGTCTGAGGCCAGCCTGAACTACACAGTGTGTTCCAGGCCAGCCTGGGCTATGGTTTTAAATGGAAAAAAAAAAAAAAAAGGAGATCTTTCTGTCTCTGTAGTTCTCCCTAATACTAGAAGCAAAACTCAGAAAAATTACAGGCAAACAGTGAGAGCACGTCTCCTGTGACAGCAGCTCACTGAATGCTCCTCCAGATCCAAGGCACCTGGGAATTCCAATACTTGGAGGTGGAAGCAGGGCCCAGAGTTCAAGGTCATCTGTGGCTCCAGACCTGCCCCTCCTCCAAAGAAGCCTCTCTCCAGGCGCCAATCACCGAGGCTCTGCTCAAGGCTGGGACTGGCTGGCTCATCAAGGGGCTTCATGGGAAAAAAGTCCTGGCCAGACCTGCTGCAGCTCTTTGTTGATGAATAAAGCCAGGAAGAGTTAAAGGGCTGGAGCACAGGACCCAACAACTGTGCCCTCAGCACGGTCCATGTATTTCACTAAATGCGGCAGCACTGAGGGTTTCCAGGGAAGTGGGAGTCAAAGCGTCTCTTAGGATACAGCTAGACTGAATCCATAGTTACCTCATTTCTGTGTCCCTTCACCTCACGAAGTTACTACTTAAGAGACGCTGACGCTTATGGAATGGTAAATACAGTAACCCCTGTTCTTCCTTTTGCTGCCAGCTGCTTGTCACCTCTGCGGAAAACCACAGAAAGGATAACAAGCACTTCCACAGCCTAAGGGGCTGGCTCTGCTTGCTTACTTTGGGAGGCCTGGACCAGAGCGTATTCTCAGTTCATGGGTCCACCATCCCTGGATGGGAAGCTTTCTGTCCTCAGTGGCATCCAACCTTACCCCCAATCTTGGTGTAGCTATGCCATCTCAGGCCAAGAACAACTGACCTGGCATTTAATCCCAGCCTGGCTACAGGCGCACGCTTCCGGGTCACAGTAGAGCCGACAATCACAGCCACACTCCTCCCGAGACAGGCGGATGGCTCTGAGCTCTTGCTTCTCCTCAGCATCAATCCGGTGGACCCCAGAGGCCCTCAGCAGGGCCCGGCGCCGCTTGGTGGGCAGAGGCTGAAGGAAGAAGTAGTCGTCAACCTCCACATTTTCCACGTCAATGTCTTCATCTGAGACGTCGTCCAGCGTCAGGCCGTCAGCCTCCACTGACTCCACCGTCCCGTTCTTGGTCAGCTGCCAGGAGACAGGGAAGGTCAGCTTGCGGCATGAGAGCACAGGGAGCAGCGCAGTCCCCTGAGTTCTGCAGGCAGGAGCTGTGTTGTCCCACATGAGAGCTGAGCACCAGAAATGTGAGCAACTGGGCTTTATTGAATTTAATATTTAAGTGGCCAAAATAATTAATAGTTGCCATCCTGGACAGCACAGGACACGATTAAAACCCAGAGCAGAAAGACAGAAGCCTCACCTGGCGCTCACATTACCCCATCAGCACCAGAGACATCACCTTTCTGAGTTCTAGGTCTTCAAAACTGTTCCCTGCCACTCTGGCAGCAGACAGCTGTCACCCCACTGCTTAGGAAATGGAGGTTAGGGGCCTAAAAACACGCAAGGTCCTGTGGACAGGGGCATTTTATTTATTTTTTTCTTTTTTAAAATTTATTTATCCTTTTACAGTTTATTCACTTTGTATCCCAGCTGTAGCCCACTCCCTTATCCCCTCCCAACTCTACTCTCCCTCCCTCATCTCCCCCTCTGCCCCTTCCCTAGTCCACTGATAGGGGATGTCCTCCTCCCCTTCCCTCTGACCCTAGCCTATCAGGGCTCATCAGGACTGGCTGCACTGTCTTCCTCTGTGGCCTGAGAAGGCTGCTCCTCCCTCAGGGGGAGGTGATCAAAGAGCCAGCCACTGCTCCCCTTACTAGGGCACCCATTTGGACACTGAGCTGTCATAGGCTACATCTGTGCAGGGGTTCTGGGTTATCTCCATGCATGGTCCTTGGTTGGAGTAAGACAGGGGCATTTTAAACATACCTCATCCCCCCTCCCCACCCCAAGGTAGCATTTCCACAAACGTTCCCTCCATTTCTAAGCTGTTCCCTACACTGGAGCAGATGGTGTATCAGTGGCTGGGTGTTCCTCAGCAGTGTTGGTAACCCTGAAAACCACCCTCGGTTGGAACCCTGAGAACCCAAAACTACCTTCAGAGAAGCAAGGTACATGGAGTGTAGCACCAGCCTCCAGGAGCTTGTCAATGGACTGGAGTCCCACGCAGAACACAATTACCTGCGTGCTCAGAGCTGCATTTCACCGTTCAGAGAGAGGGCAGCCAACTGTTAACACCACTGATTCACTTTCAACATGGGGTCTCAAAGACATGTGTTTTTCTTCCTTCTAACCCTTGTCTCTCTAACTTCAGAGTAAAGCTCTGTGAGGCAGTGCAGGGCTGTGGAAGGACAGGCTGGAGACCAATTTCTGGCTGAGTGAGTTCTGCAAACCCACTAGAGGATCTAAGTAAAGAAAACGAGGCCCCAGCCCCTGGGGCTCTGGAAGCCACTAGCAGGCTGACAGCCCAGCGGCTGGAGTCTTTGGCTTATTTCATCAGAAAGCCAGAGTAGTGCCGGGAAAGCCAACTCCTGTGAGAGAAGTGATGCAACTCGTCCGAGGAGTAAGCCATGCACCTCACTGCGCACTGTCAGGGAGCAGGCTGCGTGGGGCTTCCTCGGGCCTCTACAGGCCACGACCTCTGCACCAGGCAAGCAACTGCCAGGTTCCTTTCTGTAGACCTTAGGATTGTTCTTCTCTGTGTTACTGAACTGCCTCACACCCAGCACTCCTGCTGTTCCCAAAGGAAATTGATCAGAGAAGTAGGAGAATTCAGACCTCCAAAGAAGGGGCATTTCAGAGCAGTGCATCTGTCATTAAACAGTGCCGGGACAGCTAATATTCTTGGGGAAAGAGAAGTTAAAGTCAGGTGTGGTGGCTCATGCTCAGTAATCCCGGCACTTAGGAAGTGGTAGAAGAGGGAAAAAAAGGTCAAAGTCATCTCCTGCTCCACAGAAGTTCAAGGCCAGCTTGAACTCCATGAGACCCACCCCAAAACAAAACCACCCAATTCAGACTACATACAATAATGAATCCCACATGGATAAAACAAAACTAAAATATTAGAAAACTGAATGTAATGAAAGTTACAGAGTTCTAACAGTTGACTAGAATATCCCCAAAGGAAAGGAAATATTAAATGGCACACGAGAGACTCAGTATGTATGCAACCAAGACTGTGCCCTTACAGGTGCTAAACACAGGAACCCTTCCTGGGGAGGAAAGCAAGCGTCCTGGTGTCCTCTGCCAGCACTGCTGCAGCTCAGTGTGACCTACTAGGGGAAGACACGGAAGGATGCTCCCTTTTACAGTCTTCCTCTAACTCATGTGGGGAGCTAGGAAAGGGGCAGAGAACCTTCACTGCAACTGAGAAGAATATTTATTTGTCTAGCTGTTGCTATGGCAACAGAAAGGTGACAGGATCAGTGATGGAACTCCTCAGAAGAAAGGGAAGACTGAATGTCACTGTCATTAGTGTAGCAGACGTAAGGCCTGAGGGACAGGCTGGGAGCTTGCAAAGAAGGAAACCAGTGAGATGTGCTCAGCCTGCGTGCCCTGCCAGCAGTTCTCCAGCTCAGCCACCATCCGTTCAGTTTGTCGACACCCAGAAATAATGCAGCTGCCTCATGCTTTGGGCCCGGAGATTAATTCTCCTTCATAGTCATTCAATTCTCTGTCCTGGGTAGAATAGAACCCAAGGCTTCGAATGCACTGGATGAGTGCACTAGCCCTGAGCTTTGCCCTCGTCTCTGGGGAGTTTGAGGACTGACAGAAACTCCGACGGAGTGTCAACAGTGCTCAGGCAGCACGTGGCTGTGGGGTAAGTCTTCCGGTGCTGTCAGTACAGTGTATGAGGTGGAATGCTTTTTTAAAGCTTGATTTATTTGGCCAGGCCTGGTGGTATATGCCTTTAAAAGCGGCACTCGACAGACAGGCAGGCAGCTATCTCCCAGTGACCTGAAGCCAGCTGGTCTACACAGCAAGTTCCAGCCCAACCGTATGACCCACCGTGTGGGTGCTTGGGAGCAGAGCAGATCACCCAGAGGAGCGACAGTGGCCTCAAGGGCTGAGCATGGCTCCACCACCCACTGGCTCACCGTCCACACATCTAGCTAGGAAATGTGCTATTCTCTGTGCCAAGGGGCCCGTGTTGGCCTTGCGGGGTGATGATGTGGCAGTCACAGAAGGCTTTCCTTTCAGAAAATGTTCAGGACAACCATGGAGAAACTGAAATCTGTGTTTCCTTGGTGACAGATCCGAGAAGTTTCAGGTATTCACATTACCTTAAAAAGCATTCTTGCAACAAGTAAGACCGGGATTGAGTAGAGGAAGTAGGGTTTTTTGTTTCTGTTTTCGAGACAGGATTTCGATGCCCTGGGCCTCAAACTCAACACAGACCTGCCTGCCTCTGCCTCCTGAGGAGGGATTATAGGTGTGTGCCCATGCCTGGCTGTGAAAGTAGTTTTTATCTCTGGCTGACACTGCCACCAGAGATGACAAGAAGGAGACTCAAGATTTGACTGAAAGCTCTGAATTTCTCATGACAATAGACCACATTCTCTGCTTGCCAAGGTCAGTGGACCCCAGGGCCCCCACCTGGCCCCAGCATGCAGAAGCAACAGACCCCACGCCCACAGGCACCTTCATTTTCTTGGCGTGAAGCTTCTCTTCCTTCAGGTGCTCACGAAGAATCTCTCTGTGGTTCACCTCCTGCTCCTGTGCAAACTCACAAAGTGTGTAGCTGCGTACAGAGTTATGGCGCTGGGCCATTCCCAAAGAGCTTCCACCCTGGCTGGGCACACTGGTGAAACCCTGGCGCCGGGCGAAGTAGTATACAGTCACCTGGTCAAAGCGGACATTCTTCCTCCGCAGCTGCTTCTGCCGCTTCAGGATGGATGTGGCTGTGAACACAGCAAATGGGTCTTAATCCAGACGCCTGCGCGGGGCTCTCACCTGCTCTTATCCATCCAGGCTCTTAACCCTTTCCCACATGTGAGGCGATTTCCAAGTCTTAAGTCAGAAGCAAAACTGGAAGGAGCCTTGAACAGTGGTTCATCCCACTGCCTCCGGACTGACTTCATCTAACTAGCTGGTCACAAGATCTATTTTTAGACAGCAACTAGGGAGTGCTAGGTGATCTTTTCAGGAGAAAAGAAAATTGCCATGTGATAATTTAAACTAATTAAAACTACATTTTAAAGATTCAGCTCTTCAGTCTGTACTTCAATAGCCACGTGTGACTATGCTGCCAAGGAACACCTCTGCCACAGAGGAAACTCAATGGCCACTCCAGTGGCCATCTTCACTAATGGGCCTGACGATAGTATTTCAGGCTCTGCAGGCCATGAGGTCTCTGTGGCACTCCGTAGGCATGAAACAACCACACACATGGGTGTGACTGCTGCAACGAAACCTCAGAAACAAGCCGCATGTCGGAAGCAGTCCCAGAATAAGCCCTGAGCCTCAGTATCAGAGGCTCCTTATAGGAACAACTTGATAGCTGGGACACCACTGTGCCCAGGCTAGGGCCATTGGAAAAGCTGCCAGGTGTGCTCTGAACTGAATTAATGGTACCCTTCAGGGCCTTCATTTCAGGGTTCAAACCCTTGGAGAATTACAGGATCAAGACAATAGGAATGAAGAGCTCTGGAGGTGCTCACTGTCCAAACCTAACATTTACTCCTGTTTCAGTTACAATTTCTTGAAACCCTGGGCAAGTTCCTTGAGGTAAAAGCTCTAAGCTCCTCTTTCTCCATCAAATCCCACCCATTCTGGGCACCCTAAACCACAACACAAGTAGAATAAATCACACTTCAGCCTCTGCTATTGGAGCAGTGAGGTTTCCCAAAAAGCAAGGACACACTATGGAAAGAGTACACCCCAGGATGGACAGAAGCAAGGTCACGCTATGGGAAAGGCACACCTCAGGATGAACAGAAAGAAGTGAGGACACACTATGGGAAGGACAGAGGCGGGCTCAGGCTCCTGGGGCCCTCTAGGGAGCACGGCTGAGGCAGGACAGGAGCTGCGCACTTACGTGTGAAGCTGGCCGTTGTAGGAGGGTTAAGGCTGTCGCAGCTATCAGCACTGTCGCTGCTGGACGTGTCATCATCTGAGTTGGAAACGGATGAGCCCACATCCACATCATCATACTTCCTCTTGAGCCCGGAGCCCGAGAATGCATCCATTGGCTTCAAAAGTTTCCCTTGGGAGCCAACCACGATGGCCCCGAGCTGCTCACCACCAGCTAGCCAGGAGCGTCAGGATTCTGCCCAGGGGAGACATGGAGTCAGCGGTGCTGTCCCAAGACAACGGGCCTGTTTAGTCTGTAAACATCACTGGAACTGAAGAAAGCTCAGCACCTAGCCTAGCACTGGGTCCGGCTCCTCCGGACCAGACCATTTCTTGGTTGACTCTGGCCAGTGTTCTTTTCCTTGTGTCCTTTCAGCCCCTTCAAGCTCTTAGAAGGAGTTTGCAGCATCACTTTCCCAGTGCAGGGATGGCCTCACTCCCAAGGCTGCTGGCCCAGGCCACCTCTCACTTCAATTCTGACCACACAGGAGAGCACACTAAGGGATCCCTGGGAGAGACTAGTCCACACTGCATAACCTTTGCCTAAACCAAAGCCAGACCCGAGTGTTTATCCCAGTGATAATATAGTCTGGCATTTCCCCAAGTGTAGATCTGAAACATACTAGTTCCATGGATATTAATAGCTTTTTGAATGAAAATAGGACTGCTGTGTTAAAATAGTTTAGAAAACCACTATGGCAGAACCTCTTAGGTTTTTTGTTGTTGTTGTTGTTTTGTTTTTTGAATATACTAAGCATGGTAAAGGCTGGAATAAAACAGTGCAGTATTTCACAACCTGATTATGGAACCCACTGTTTCCAAAGTATGTTAGGGGGCAAATAATCTCTGGAACGCACTTTGGGAAATTCTGCTCCAGACTCTCACTTTTGAAGGACATTGGCACTCAGGAAAACCCTTGACCCAGATCTTCACAAGTGTGAAGTGTCTCACCAGGCTCCCAGAAAGGGCAAATTTAGTACTAAAGAAAGGAGCCAAGATTAGAATCAGAACTGGCTTCAAAACCCAGAAAGTGGGGCTGTGGGTGTAGCTCAGTGGTACAGCGCTTGCCTCATATACCCAAGGCCACAGGTTTGATCCCAGCACTGCAAATGAAACTAACACCAGACTCTTCCTCAGCCTTTCACGGTCTCCCATCAGTATCTGTGCAAAGGAGGACACAAGAGCTTTACACTCATGGGCCTCTGAAGAGAAACCATCAGGGAAAAACAGAAAAGAAGTGACAATTAGCCCTGGTTACACTAACATGGCAGCACATGCCTTTTTCCTTCTCCATCTTTGCATTTAAGCTCCAAAAGGCCAGGGATCTGCTGAGGAGAAATACTGTCAGAGCCAGGCCCACATGTGATGAGGCCTGACACTCCCCATACGATGATCTCACTAGCTGCTAATTATGCAGCAGGATTAAAGCACTGCCCAGAACTACATGGCTGCCTTGCCGCAGAGCAGCTACCCAGAATGCACTGTGCTGATGAGAGGTGTCTCCCACAGTCTGGACACTACCACATCTTTTAGCAGCAACCTAGATCAGCTCTGCAAAGTTAGCCAAACCTGGTGCCTGCTTTGGGGATTTCCTAAAATACCTACTCAGATCACATAAAAATCCCACAGCTAAGTCACAAGACGAACTGCGTACCCAAACAAGACATCCCTCAAGCAAGTTTGGTTAAGAAGAAAAATTAAAATCAAGAGCTTGTTAAGAATTATAAGTGAGGACATGGTGGCACATGCCTGTAATCCCAGCACTCAGAGGCACAGACAAGTGGCGCTCTGTGAGTTTGAGGCCAGCCTGGTCTACATAGGACAGCCAGGGCAACATAGAACCCATCTTTAATACACACACACATATACACGCACACATATTATATATATATGCACGTATACATGATATTAAGAACTGGCAGTCAGCAGTTAAGAGTGCTGGCTGCTCTTCCGAAGGACCTGGGTTCAGTTCTAGCATCCAACCCCTGTAGCTCCAGTCCCAGGTATCTGAAACACTCTTTAGGCACCAGGCACATGCGTACATACAGATAAAAATGCCTACACACATAACATAAAATCTAAAGTCTGAAAGGATTCACATGAGTCCAGATTATCAGCTGTGCTCCTCGGGTCGGTTCCATAGGTCACCTTCTTGGGAAATCAGAGTGGGAAAAGAGTGAAGGGACTTTTTAAGAGTTAAGATTTTTAGCTGGGCTTAAGGATGAGACTTTCCAGCTAACAAATGTCTCATTCCATTCTATTTTGGGTGAAGGAGCATGGGGGGGCACCTTTGTCATTAACTATTCATATGGACACCACAGAGGAGACAATGTTGACTGCTGAATCTCACCCCCAAGTCCATGCCGTCTCCACTACAGAAGGAACTGACACTGAGCAAAGAGCCCAGTTTCTAGGAAAAGGCTTAAGTGCCCTTCAGACTGAACTGAGCTCTAGGTAACACTTCTAGAAAGGTGCCCATTCCTCACCGGAAGCAGGAATGTGTGCTTGGAAGGAAACATATGTTCTGCTCTTTCCTCCAGGGCCTTTGCTTCCAGTCGTGTGGATTTTCTTTGAGTATTACTCTTTGGGGCTCACATGAACTTGGATTTGAGCCAAACCACCTTTCTTATTAAAATTCTTCCTATCTTAACCCAGCTGCCCTCAAGAGTGCCCTTGAGCATGCGGATGCTGGCTGTGTGCCCCAAGCCTCTTCGTTCATGTCTTCTCACTTCTGGGGTTGCAGTTTGAGCAATGACAGAGGTAGGTAGGAAAGAAGGGGGAGGGGAAAACTGCCAGGCAGAAGGAAAAGTAATTTCCTTAAGCTGCCAAGAACAATCAGGTCTCCATGTGTAAGTGATTGTGCCCTGACCTATGTGACCTGGCCCACTGAAGGGCTGGGGTATAGTTGGTAGAACTGGCTGCCCACAATGCTTGCAGCCTTCCCTGGCTTCAGTTCCCAGCACCACAAATCAACAACAACAACAAACACATCTTATGGAGAACACTCTGGAAAATTCTTTGAGACTCCACTGTTTTAGCTTTCTTCAGCTAACTAAGGATTTTAGCAATACCTCCTGTACAATTACCTGTTACTTAAAATTGTTTAAGTTAGCTATTAGCCCAAATTGGCCTTCATCTACCAACCTTCCGGAGCCCCAGCTTGCTTGAGAAAGGCCTGGAACTCACACAGTGCTCCTGCCTCAGCTCCCCAGTGCTGGGCACGGGCATGCGCCAGTGCAGCCTCCACCCCTGAGAACTTTAAACTCTCTGTCCTCAGCTCCTAGCCAACAAACACTTCGGCTCAGCTCTCCTCGTCCAGGTCTCTGAGAGCCTGACTTGTTAAAGACCTTCATGGACATCAACATCCCTCCTCCCTCCACGCTGCCCTCAAGCACTCACTCATTCCTAAGGTAACACCAGAACAGCTTTCACAGTTTTTAATTCACCAATTAATATCCTTGTAAACCCATTGTGGAAACCAGTTATTCCCACTGGCTCAACTGTCCCTCTAACCATTGGTAAAAGATGGTTCAAAAGATATTCTTTAACCCTCACATGATGGTGGGTGCATGCACTCCCAGCAAGAGCAAGAGTTCAAGGTCACCCCAGCTACCAAGCAAGCTCACAGCTAACCAAGGCTACATGAAACGCTGTCTCAATCCTCCCAACCTTCCACTTTATAAGTTATATCCAAGCACTGAAACCTATACAGAAATAACCAAGCGAGACTAGAGATGCAAGTCACAATACTTACCTGTCTAAATAAACATCTCAAGCAACAAATAGTTTGTCTCTCTGTAGAAGCTTTTACACGTGAAATGAAGACTCAGAGACACACTGTGACTCTGTGCCTTGTGATGCTTCATTAAGTGTTTCTAGCTGAACATTTCCTGTAGGAACACAATCTAATCCGTCGCTACAGGACAGAGACATTAGGCTAGTGCCAAATAAAACCAGCATGTGTATTTCAGTACTAGGTCTAAGCTTTCTACAGGCTGATAAGGACTCAAACCTCAAATCCCAACCTATGTAAGAATAGCAAAAACTGGGTGTGGCAGCAAATGCCTTTAGCGCCAGCTCTCAGGGACAGATGCAGGTGGATCTCTGTGAGTTTCAGGCCAGCCTGGGCCACATGGTGAGTCCAGGACAGCCAGAACTATACAGAGGAACACTGTCTTAAAAAAAAAAAAGGAAGAAAAGGGAAAAACTGTGGACAGAGTATGTTTGTAAAGTTTGGGTAGTCCTCACAGGGAGAACCTTTCCACCCAAGTAGAACCTAATATTCTGCTAAAGGTCAAGGAACCTCTTTCAGGATTGTTAGGACTACCGCCATGACTGGGATAGGAGTAGGGTAGAAAGGCTCGCTGTTAGCCTCACAGTTACCCTGTTTCTCTTTCCTAAGACACTACAGTTTGATGGATCCATGTGTCCTTGTGATCAGCAGATCAGGACCGTGGAAAAGCACATAAAGTGCTCTGGTAAACCACCTAGTCAAGAAGCCCTTTCCCAGCCCCTCTCCCGGGTTCTTCCTGGTTTAGTAACACTCGATCAGAACTTGGCTGCCCACACGTAAGCCACATCCTCGGAGAGACCCGAGATCTCTGTGAGACCTGGAACATGGTGCTGCATTAAGTCTCCTCTCAAGGATAGCGTCTGCCACACACCAGCAGCTGCTTTTAGAGATCTGTGCATTTTAAAGCCACCAACGAAAAGGAGAACGTGAACCGCAAACTGGAGGACAAGGGGAACAGTGTCATCTCTTGGGGATAACTTCTAACCTTTCATCCTAAAGAACCGTCGTGTGTCACACTGCCACTCTTAACCCTTCTAAAAGGATGAATCAGGACCACAGCACTCAAAGGGATGGATGGCAGGCGGCTGCCTGTTCGGGCCTGTGAAAAGGATCAAGCTATAGCAATCCGCGCAAGCGATGCGATGCTCTCATTTTTTTGTACACAACGCCAGAAAAATGGAGACATCAGGAACCAGAGTGGAAGGGACACGTCAAGTCACCTCAGCACCGCTGAGGAACCCGTCAGCTCTCAACCCATTGACTCCCGCTGGCCTTCCCGCTCATTCTGCAGGTCCCACACAGCCTTCCCCAGCCTCCTGCCCGCTACTCACAAATTCCCAAGCACTCCTCCCACATTTTCCTCCAGCCCTCCTCCCCTTCCTTCACTTCCCTCCATCCTCCATCCCTGCCCACTCCATTCCGAACCCGGCCGTCAGCCGCAACCCTGCCGGCTTCCAAGCCGCCCCTCCGTCCCTCGAGCGAGCCTGCAGCCCGGCCCGCGTCCCCGGCGCCCCTCGCTCCCACGCCTCTTCCCAGAGGCGCCCCGGCTCCCCGCCCCCCGCCGCCTCGGTCCGCACGGCTCAGCGCCGGAGCGGAGCCGCGGCCGCCCGACAGCCGCTGCCGAGCAAGGACGAGGCGGACCCCTCTGCCCCGCACCCCAGGCCCATTACCGGCCCCGCCGCGGCCGTCTCTCCCGTCACGGTCTCCGCCGCCCCCGCTGCCGCCTCAGCCCGTGTGCAAGAGGAGCAGACAGAGGCGCGCCCCGCTGGCCCGGCTCGTCGCGCAGCTCCCGGGGCTGCAGGGCGTGTGGGCCGGCCGGCAGGCGGCGGGGGGCGGGCGGCTCTGCACTCGGGCGCCCCGGGCAGCGCAGCCCAGAACCGCCCCGGCTCCGGCTAACAATAGGCTCCGGCCGCAGCGCTCTGCCTCTTATAGGCGCCGGCGCGTGGGGGCCGAGGCCCAGGGCAGCCTGGGAAATGGAGTCTCCGCCCGGCCCACGCCCCACGGTATGCCGGGAGTTGGAGGCGAAGAGCGCTGCAAAGCCCAGTGCCGCCTTGGAGCAAGCCTCCATGACCCGTGGAGAGCGACTCTAGGGCAGCTGCTCCCCTCCGATGCGACCCTCGGCCACACGTCGGCACCGACTAGATTCTCCTCGCACCAGGACCTCGTGCTCGTGCCTGAGGAACGTAATCCTCGTTCATGGGGTTGTCCCCATGTGACTTGCTTGCTGCTGGCCTAATTTTATACAAGAAATTACAAGCAACGGCCCGTCTACTTTTATGGTGGATCAATCTCTCCTCGACCCTCACCCTCCGCTTCCCGCCCCCAGACAGGGTTTCTCTGTGTAGCCCTGGCTGTCCTGGAACTCAGAGATCCACCTGCCTCTGTCTCCTGAGCGCTGGCATTGAAGGCGGGCGCCACCATAACGACTGATTTCTCCATGTTCTTGAAAAAATAAAAAATTCCTTTTTTTTTTTTTTTTTTTAATTTCTGATAATCACAGCTTTGCAGCTCATCTTTTAAATAAGAACCAAGAAATGATTGCGGACTTGTGTAGGACCTACAACTTTTCTTTCTTACCCTGTTTCTCCTCGGATCTATGCCGCAAGATCCAGGCCCAGCCCGTGCTTTCCCCTCCCATAATGTGTCATCCTGTTTCCTTCTACCCTTCTCAGACCCATACTTTGCTTGGATAAACTGGCTTTTCCTGTAGCTCCGTCAACACTCACAATGCTACCTCAAGCTTTTTACCATTAGGGTCCTTGCCAACCGTGTGTTGGATCATTTAATAAATATTCAAATAAATGTGTAGTGGGAGTTTTGAGTTTCTTTAAAAACTCAGTTATGTTATGTAAACATGGGATTACCAGGTTACGGGAAACGGGGCTGCTTCAGAGTGTCCACAGCAGCAGACTATGTACCTCTTCGGGCTCTGAGAGGGATGTGTTCTTTGTCAGCTGAGGATAGTTTGATTCTGGGGATTCTGAGAGGATATAAACGCCAGCGCCCAGGGAGGGGCACGGCCCTTTGAGGTAGAAGGGGGAGGCTGCTGCTCCCCCTCCTACTGCTCATGGTTGCTGTTGTAGTTTGATGGAAAGAAACTGGAGATTTTGTGACTATGTGACTTGTTTCAAGGGACCTGACGACTCTAACCAGCAGCAAGTAGTTTAAGGGACCTATGCTCCCTTCTCCCCACTATTCTTTTTCTCCTACCTGGTGTTGGAAGGGATTGGGGTGAAGAAGGGAGGTAGAGGTATAAGAACCCAAATAATATAGATTAAAAACACAAGCCAAAACAAATGTCTTCATATTAGAGAGGTTAACTTCACACACACACACACACACACACACACACACACACACACACACATTTTGTTTTGAATAAGGCCTTTGTAGCTCAAGATGGGTTTGATTTTTTTTTTCCCAGACAGCATTTCTCTGTGTAGCCTTGACTGTCCTAGAACTAGCTCTGTAGACCAGGCTGTCCTTGAACTCAGAGATCCTCCTACTTCTGCCTCCTGAGTGCTGGGACTATAGGCGTGCACTGGTTTTTATAAGACTGTTTTTTGTATTCTTTTATTGGGGGGGCATTCTCTGGGGTACCTCTGGCTCTTCTGGGCCCCCTTTGCAGGCCAGGCTTTGACTCAGAGCTCTGCCTGCCTGTGCCTCCCAGAGCGCTGGGATTCCAGATGTGTACCACTGGTTTTGAATTTTTAATCCTCCTGCTTCAGCTTCCTGGGTGCATAATTTGAAACAACTGCTGTTTCTGCTCTCTTTCTCGTATTTCTTTGGCATTGCTATCTGTTGTATTTATTATTTTTTCAGTCTTCCATGTTAACTTAGACTCCATGAGACTAAGGAGTTGTTTTGTTTATTCTCAACACCAAATTAAAAAGAAACTGGTGCTCGCTTTGGCAGCACATATACTAAAAAGAAACTGGTTATTTGATGTTTAGGAGCACAGTAAATATTTATCGGATGCATGGATGGATGGATGGTTGGCAGGATTAAAGTATGTGTAGGGGTGTGTGCTGGTTCTAAACGCTAGCACATTTTTTCATGTAACCCGGAATCTATGAAGCCAGCTCTACTGGCTACTAAGCCATCTCACCTTCCAAACTGAGACACTGAGTGGTTTGAAAAAGTGCCATGAATTCTAGGTGTTTTTTTCTCCATCAAAAGACTTTTGTGACATCAAAGACTTTTGTCTAGGAGACAACAGCACAAAGGGAGAAACAGCAGGTCATGAAAAAGTATCTTTAAGATAGCATGCCCTAACCATCTACCTGAGGAAACTTAGAGGGGACAAAATGAAAACCAGGGATCCACCTGGGCAGGGTGGCGCACACCTGTGACCCCAGCACTCAGGGAGGCAGAGGCAGGAGGATCTCTGTGAGTTCGAGGGCAGCCTGGTCTGCAGAGTGCGTCCACGACAACTGAGGCTACACAGACAAACCATAAAGAAGGAAGCCAGGGATCCCGGGACTGCGCTGCTGGGAGATAAAGCTGTATTCTGATTTCCATGTGCGCTGGGCTCTGAACAAGCTTCTGTGCCGCAGGCCCACAGGGCGGCTTACAGCCATCTGTAACTGCAGTCCCAGGGACCCACGCCTTTGGCCTCTGCAGGCACCTGCACTCATGTGCATATACCCACATGAAAACAAGTGTGCACACACCTGAATATAAGTGAGCACCTGTGTGTGCTCACAACTACACATCATCAAAAATATAAAGAAATCTTAAACAAACAACCCAGCTGGGAGTGGTGGCATATGACTCAAATCCCAGACTTGGGAGGCAGAGGCGGGCAGATCTGAGTTCAAGGCCAGCCTGGTGTACAGAGTGAGTGCCAGGACAGCCAGGGCTCCACAGAGAAACAAACAAAACCCATCTAGTCTGGGAGTGGTGCCACAAGCCTTCAATCCCAGCAGATCGCTGAGTTTGAGGCTAGCCTGGTCTATATAGTGAGTTCCAAGCCAGCCACAGCTACACGGTGAGACCCTGTCTAAAGGAACATACAGATAAAGGTCACTTGCGTGAAGGAAAGGCCGGGGAGGTGGCTGGCAGCAAAGTGCTTGCATTTCGAGGGGAGAGGTGTGTGGCACCATGCCCAGGTAAACAGCCTCTTAACTGTTTGTCAGCAAACAGTCTCTTTTTACAATATTTTAAAAGTTGTTTTTCAGGATTTTTGTTTTGTTTATGGGATTGCCAGGTGTATGCACACACACAGAGGTCAGAAGGGGGCAGTAGAGTTATAGATCATTGTGGTCTGCCGTATGAGTGCAGGAAACCAAACCCCAGTTCTCTGTCAGCACAGCAAGTGCTCCTAGCTGAACCCCTTCTCCAGCCTGACAAGGGAGTCAGGTACCCCAGAGCTGGACTTAAGACAGCTGAGAGCCACCGTGTGGGCGCTGACGAAGTCCATGCGCCTTCACCAGTGTGCCAACCTGCAATCCTTGGGGGAACATTCTCACTGGCCTGTAAAATCAAACCGTCTCATTGCTGACAGCCAATGCACTGAGTGACTGTGCAGCATTGTTTTACCTCAACCTGACACAAGCTGGAGCCACGTGAGAGGAAGGGGCCACAGGTCAAGTCTTACTTAGTGACTGACGGGAGGCCCAGCCCATTGTGGGTGGAGCTACCCCTGGGCTGATGACCCTGGGCTCTGTGAGAAAGAAGGCTGAGCAAGCCCTGGGGAGCGAGCCAGTGAGCAGCCCCCCTCCATGGCCTCTGCAACAGTGCTTTGTTCTGACTTCTCCCTTTTATTTCCCAATACTCCCATTTAACTATTATGTTTTTATACATATGTTTCTACAAGGATCCCATTCTATTTCAAGAGAAAAATACAGCCAATAGTAAGTCCAATAGGATAGGATTTCATTTTTCTCAAGATCTAAATTCTACCTATTTCGCTTTCCATAAACCCTCTTTTGAGTGGGAATGTTAAACTATTTGACATAAATATCAATCATCAGTCACAGAAACATAAAATCCCATTTTTTAAATGCAGGATCTCACTGGAGCACAGGATGACATCAAAACACTGGCTGTACTTGAACTTCTCGTCTTTCTGTCTCCATTCCCAAGGGCTAGGACTACAAGTATGCTCACCCAGTTTCATGTGGGGTCTGGGACTGAACCCACAGCTTCCTGGATTTCCTGTTTTATCTCCACCCGCCGTCAGATCTTGCTTCCAGAATATATCTGAGACATGTGCAAAAGCATGTGAAGAAAATCTTTCCAAATATATTTACCAGCAAGTTAGAAAAAAAAGCACACAAGAGCTCATGCTCACATGCGTGCACACACAGAAATAGAGAGGTTATGTAGAAGGAAAAAATGTATCCCAGGAGTGGGAGGTGAGTGAACTGGGAAGACAGGCAGAGAATCCATTTTATAGAACAGTAATGTGGAACTAGTATAGAGAGATGTTCAAAAGAGTAAAACTAAATCATGTATTAGAGTGAGCTCCTGAGGTTTATGTATGTGCATATGTGTTGAAATTTCTTGTGATGACTCATTTAAAAAATTTTTTTTTTTTTTTAATTTTTGACAAAGTCTCTGTGGTGGTTTGAATGAGAATTTTCATTCTCCTTCAAGTGAACATTTGGCCCCCAGTTGGTGGAACTGCTTGGGAAAAATTAGGAGATGTGGCCTGGTTGAGGTGTCCCTGGGGTGGGTTCTGAGGTTTCAAAGCCCACGATGTTTCCAGTTAGCTCTCTCTCTGCTTTTGTGCTCAGATGAAAGCTCTCTACTCTGGCTCCAGCTCCACGGCTGCCTGCCTGCTCCTATGCTCCCTATGTGATGGTCACAGACTCTGACCTCTGGAATCCTGAGCCCAACTTAAAGACATTCTCCTAAAAACTGTCTTGGTCATGGTGTTTTGTTGTGGCAATTAAAAAAACAAAAAAGGGCTCTGCCCTGTAGACTATCAAAGCAGAAGCTGAGACTTATGGCCAACTGTTGGGCAGAGTGCATGGAATCTTATATAAGAAGTGGGAAATAGTTTAGAGCTGGGGAGGACAGGAACCCCACAAGGAGAGCAACAGAACCAGAAAATTTGAACACAGGGGTCTTCCCAGAGACTCATATTCCAACCAAGTACCATGCATGGAGATAACCTAGAACCCCTGCACAGATGAAGCCCATGGCAGTTTAGTGTCCAAGTGGCTTCCATAGTAATGGGAAGAGGGACTGCCTCTGACATAATCTGATTGGCCTGCTCTTTGATCACCTCCCCCTGAGGAGGTAACAGCCTTTCCAGGCCACAGAAGAAGACAATGCAGCCATTCCTGATGTGATCTGATAGACTAAGATCAGAAGGAAGGAGAGGAGGACCTCCCCTATCAGGGGAGGGGCATGCGTGAAGAAGGGGGAGGGAGGGTGGGACCAGGAGGGGAGGAGAGAGGAGCTTATGGGGGGATACAAAGTGAATAAAGTGTAATTAATAAAATAAAATAAAATAAAATAAAACAAAACAAAACAAAACAAAAAAGACGATGGCAGCCTCCTGCCTCCGTGTCCTGAGTGTTGAGATTACAAGAGTAAAGTGGCTGTATCCACAGCCACGGACCACCACTTTAGACTAAGAGAAGAGAAAAAGTCATAGCCTTTATTATCTATGCGTATAATAAACTTAAATGTTACTGTCACAATGAAAAAAAAAAAAAAA